GGAGCAGGAAGGCTGACGTTTCAGGCCTAGATCCTTCTTCAGAAAGGGTCTGAAGAAGGGTCTAGGCCCGAAACATCAGCCTTCCTGCTCCTCTGATGCTGCTTGGCCTGCTGTGTTCATCCAGTTCTACACCTTGTTATCTCAGATTCTCCAGCATCTGCAGTTCCTACTATATCTGGAGTAAACAATGACTTTTTTAAATATAAAAACCAAAAGAACTGCGGATGTTGTAAATCAGAAACAAAAACAGAAATTGATGGAAAAGCTCAGTAGGTCTGGAACGTCTGTGGAGAGAAATCAGAGTTAACGTTTCAGGTTGAGTGAACCTTCCTCAGAACATTTTTAATTATACCATGCATATTCAATCTTGTTCGAACACTTTTCTTGAAGTTGAGGACTCTGTCCACTTAGACAATGCTGAAATTCCTCTATTAAGCAAATAGAGAATAGTGAGGGTGTCTGGGTCACTCTTTCTGGTAGCAGCTATCTTTCTCCAAGCCATGGTGTGCTTGTTATTGCTAAAACCATCTGCATTGTAAATGGGACAATTCTAACAACAAGAAGACAACAAGGTGAAAGTAAAGAACGATTTTGTGAAGCAGGTTTGCACAGTAAAAGCCCAGCAGTTTATCTCAAACCAGTTTTCTTGCTCATGGGCATAACCCAATGGATGGAATCTTGTTGAGATGTCAATGTCCACCCTGCCAACTGGAGAGCTGGCAAGAGACTATCACAATCTCCTCCAGGGAAGACCAACCAAACCAGATGCCAGTCAGATAAAAGCAAAATACCGTGGATGATGGAAATCTGATGTAAAAACAGAAAATGTTGGAGAAACTCAGCAGGTCTGGCATTTGTGGAGAGAGAAACTTTAAAATTTGATAATGACTCTTCCTAAGACTTCGCAGACCAGAGGCCATTGCAGGGAGGCGAGTCCCAGAGGTCTGGAGGCTAGGTGCTGGGACAGATTGGGGTGAAAGGACTGTAAATTGAGTAAGTTTTCATTTTTATTCTAATGCTTCATTTTTATTTTTTATTCTTTCAGTTTTATACCAAATACTTAAGTACCTGTACCTGGGTATCTTGTACCTAAGATGGTGCCATACGTGGCGACATTGCAAACTTTTCACTGCACTTATTTGAGTGCATGTGACAATAATCTAGTTTGATTCAATAAGAAGCAGTGCCAGGAGGGTGGCTCATGATGTGCACTCCCTTGCCCAACGTCCAGGTCTTTCGTCTGGCATCGATTCCCCTTCCTTACCCACAATGTGATAAGCTGCTGGTAGGTAGCAGGAAATTGTGCACCCTGTATGGTAACAGGCCTGCCGACTGCAGCTGTAAGCTGAAGCTCTAACTTGGTCCTCCATTGGCTGCTAAAGGCTCTCAGGCGGGGGTTGATGGGAAGGGTGACCATCGAGCTTCCCATTCAGAACTTAATTCTGGTGGAACGAGAAAATAACAGGGTTTGGGTACTACATCACCGCCATGTCTAATTAAATGGCCTTCAACAAGCCCCACAGTTTCAGGAGTAGAAGAGACCGCCCTCTTTGCATTGGGAATAAAGTAGTATCTTTGGAGCATGATAATTAAATAGTGGTAATTTAACAACTAAGACAGGCCCACTTAAAATTTAAGTGATTTGCCAGCATAATTTAATCACAGCATTCTTGCTTCTCAGAAGAGTCTGCATTCAACTCTCACTCCAGGACTCAAATAGAAATATAAGAAGGACCAATACATAGCCTGACGCTTTAAGTGGTACCGAGGAAGTTTATTTTCTTTGGGTGAGATGGTAAAACGAGGCCCAAGTTCAGTATGCCTTCTGAAGCTGATCTTTTACAATATTGGAGAGTATTGGCCTTGCTAATTTTGAACCCTAATGCACCACAAAAAAGCAGATTATCTAATTATTGACACACTGCACTTTGTGGGAGTTTGCATACACAGATTGGCTGCTGCATATTTTTAATGTTACAATAGTGACTACACTTACAAGATAAGGACTTTAGTGACTCTAATGTGGTTTAAGAAGTCCTGAAGTCATGAAAGATGCTTTATAAATGCAAATCTTTCTTTCTGGAAAAAGACTATATGGTTCACTGCAGGCGCATGTCTGTATGCTAAAATCTCAGCTAGTTACAACACTGACTCTTAATTCTTTAGGCAAATTGACAGTTGCCTGTGCCAGCACAACAGTGACTGCATTTCAAAAGAATTAATTGACTGTGAAATGCATTGAGGCAATTTGAGGTTGTAGAAATCATGACATAAATCCAATTTTTTGAGGCTTTGAAATTTTAGTCCAACATTTTGGACTGGCATAGAAACAGATTTAATTTCTATTTAACTTGCATTAATTTCCTTTAACCTTAGCTCTGGGTGCTCATTAAAATCTACAATAACAAATGTATCTAAATGTAGTAGAATTTAGACATTGGTAAGAGGTGGTACTGTTAACCAACATGATCTTGAACTACAACAATCCACAACATATTGCATCCAACTTGATCAATATCAAAACATAGATTTGTAGAATACCAATTTACACATTTCTGCTGTTGCCCTGGGGGTTCTGTAATCTGACATTTCACTGGCAGTGACTTTCTTTGACGTGTGCTGTGAAATCAGAATATTTTAGGAACTCCCTCTGGGCGTGCTTAGTTCAAAGTGTTTTTGTGAGATTCACCATGTAATGTCAGAGGAATGAAGCTCAATTGTACTTGATTGACCAGCAGAAACAGAATTGTTTAATAATTAGGCAGAACACATGTGCTGTATGCTGATATAGTAAGCTGTTGTGAAATAAGATTACAATTTTTCCTCATATGTTCATCTTTAACATAATCCTCTACTGACTTGCTCTGTTTGAAAGGGAAAATCTGTTCAAATCTGTCTCTGTACCTACCACAAGAGTTATTTTTGTGTGTCGCGGAACTCGACGTTTAGTCTATTCAGAGTTCCTGTTCTATCAGAAGGTATGAGAATTAAAGGCCCGAAATGTCAGCTTTCCTGCTCCTCTGATGCTGCTTGGCCTGATGTGTTCATCCAGCTCTACACCTTGTTATCTCAGAACTTTCTCACACATTGTTTCTGTAGAAGCTGTTGTAAGAGGTTTTTTGTTGTCTGCTTTCTGGGTAAGTCTTTATGCTCCTCTGATTAGGTAGTATCCTTCCCTGTTATAATGGCAACTTGTCTTCCAAACAACTTATATTTGCAATCTCACCTTTATCACAGTAAATCTCAATGTGGTGGGGGTGGGAGTTTCTGAGAAAATTGAGGGATTATCTCATTTGATGCTCATTTATGTGGTTTATATTACCTGACTTGTTGTGTTGTTGTGTTTGCAATCTTGCCAAGGAGCCACCGAAAGGTCAAGAGGGTGATGTATGGGCGAAACCAAATCTTGAGTGAATTTGACACAAGCTTGCCACACTTTTTGGGTGTGCAATATCCAGGCTGGCATACTTTAATTGGAATGATTACTTACATATTGAGTGGTAGTTGGGTCTTTGACGCTGTGCCCTGGTCCCCTACGGTAGCTCCTGGTCTGGGTCCAACTGCACCAGCAGGTGTGCTAGCATTAAGAGATGAAGCCTATGAAAAATAAAAAAAAACACAGCTTGGATTTAATGCAAGTGAAGAAGGACTGAGGCTCCGAAAGCTTGTGTTTTCAAATAAACCTGTTGGACTATGACCTGATATCGTGTGATTTCTGACCTTGTCCTCCCCAGTCCAACACCGGCATCTCCACATCGGGATTTAATGCAAAAATCATTAATGAGGTTGAAATTTCAAATCTGAACAGGCTTGAGGTAGTTCAGTTGGTTGGACAGCTGGTTTGTGATACAGAGTAATGCCAACACCGTGGGTTCAACATCTGTACCAGGTGAGGTTACCATGAAGGACTCTCCTTCTCAACCTCTCCCCTCACCTGAGGTGTAGTGACCCTCAGGTTAAACCACCAACAGTTGTCTCTCTCTAATGAGAGAGCAGCTGTATGGTTCTCTGAGACTATGGCAACTTTTTACCTTTTTACTTAAACAGCAACTTATATTTATACAACATCTTTATCATGAAGAAAGGCTCAAGGCACTTCATGGATGCATCATAAAACAGACCTCACGTCACTTAAGGAGGTGTTAGGTCAGATGACCGAAAGCTAGATTGTTTTTAAGAAGTGACTTAAAGGATGCCTTGAGGTAGTGGGAGAGTACAGAGACACAAAGGACAAAGCCAGGAGGGTTTTGAGAAAAAAAAGGGGATTTTAAAATGGGCCCTGTGAGGCAGCACTGCTAACCACTGCCACTCTGTGGGTTTGTTGTAGACTTTTTGGTATACATTCTATTTCACCCAGTTTTAGGCATCCATGACTCATTAGCACTATCACCACGCTACGCCTTGCTGATTACTATGAGTAGCTCTCCCGAAAATACAAGGCTTCGAGTAAAACAGTTTTTGAAGGTAATTTCACCTCTGTAGAAAGTATCGTGTGATTTAGGTGTTGTGTCACTTTTGACTTGCTTGTTTTGCCCATGTTACTTTACCTGGGACGGTGCACTAGATGATAGATGTGGTACTTCCCCAATCCTGGCAACTGCTCTGGGGTCACTGGAACTGATGAGAACTGGTGCACTGATTTCCATCGAGTGCCTGTTGGTGATGGCTTGGGAAGACTTGTGTGACATGCTGAACGAAGTGAAGGAATGTCGCTTCTTGGCATTTTTCTTGCCATCAATGCGTCTGTGGACGGCACTGACAGCTCCCCCACTATTTACAGGAGAGCTGGATGCTGAGCTAGCTCCTGCATTGGTAGCAGCTGATGGAGCTGTGTCAGCATTCTGTGTAACTGCCAGGCACTGTTTATCCATCTCAATCAGGTGCTTTGCAGTTGAATTAAGCTGTGGGTGAAAATTAAACAAAAGTTCATTAAAGGTTATCAAAATATATTGTTAATAAGTCAGTATTCTTCTTCATAAATTTGATGCAAATGCTGGAAGCAAAGGAAATGAAGTTAGAGTAATGATGCAAATAAAGGGAAATGGGAATAATTTTGGATTGCTCCGGCAAAAAGACGATACAATGAGGATAATTTGACTCCCAAAAAAGAATGGGTTTAGATCTGTGAAAAGTTGAACCTTTTAATTTAAAATCCTATCAATTCTGGTTTGAATGAAAGTGGGGCCTAGTAACTATTCCTTTCACAAGAAGCAGGTCAGCCAGCAAAACGTTTTAAAGGTGCTGTATGCCTCAATTTTATCATGTTTTTTTTTAATGCACTGTTGACCTGGTTTTCCACACCTCAAGATAACCTGGAATATCAAAGGAAGCAAGAAGAGCTCAATCCACTACCTCTGATTTATCACACTTCTTGTCCAACATCCATTACTGGCTGAACAGAAATTTCCTCAACTGAATACTGAGAAGGCAGAAACCATTGTCTCCAGTCCCCGCCACAAGCTCCATTATCAACCACCAACTTTATCCCTCTGCCTGGAAACTTTCCTGTTTTATGTTAGACCCTTCAGAACATGTGGTGTTGCATTTAACCTTGAGATGAATTTTCTGCCACTCATCCATGGGATTACCAAGACACATTTCTACCTCTGCAATATCATCCATGTCCTTCCTTAGCTCACCAATTGATGAAACTCTCATCCATGTCTTTGTTATGTCTAGACTTTAGCCTACTTGAACTTGAATTCATCTAAAACTCTCTTCTGACTTCCTAGATTGAACCACGTCCAATTACTGAACACTTCTGTACTCGCTGATTGAACCACGTCCAATTACCAAACACTTTTGTACTCGCTGAACTACATTGGTTCTTGGTCTAGCACCTCCATGATTTAAATATTTCCATCTTATCTTTTAAATTTTCCTCTCCCTATCTTTGTAATCTTCTCCAGAACTAAATCTTTTGAAATTTTTGCACTTCTCCAAATCTGGTCTCTCATGCAACTCTGATATTGATTGCTCCACCATTTGTAGCTGACTTTAACTGCCAAACGCTGTAAGGTTTGAAATTCCTTTCTTAAACCTCTCCACATCTGCCATCTCCTGTTTTAAGAGACTTCTTAGAACTGACCTCTTTGACAACATTTTGATATTGGTTCTAAAGTAATTTCATGCAGTCGATATGGATCTGTTTTTGAGAAAGCCACCGCAAAAAGTCTTGGAATGTTTTGCGACGTTAAAGTTGCTATTTAATTGGAAATTATTGATTGATAATCTAGGGACCATTATGGCAGCTTGCAGGCCAGGAAGAGTTTCCTCCATCCCAACAAACTAAATTGTAACTTCACGCTACAGCGATCTCAACTGCGCTGACTACCATTGTTCACCACCTCCCACCACGATCTCTGTCTGTCGATCATTATGTCGTGAGCCCTCTTGGCCATGCTATACCTCTTGGACACCATCTTGCCCCATACCCAGAGGGCAATCTCTCCCTTTGTACCCCCTCTGCTGCTTCCTTCTGCAGCAGGTTTCCCTGATTGGGGTCTGTCAGTCTGCCGGGAAACCTGGAAGAAAAGGTTTAAAAGACTTCCTGCAAGTAAAATCCTCGGGCCATTCAGAAAACCTTAATGTTTGGGTTTTGAAACTTCTCAGCTGCACTTCAAACATGCAGCTCACTAAATATCAGGGTCAATGAATCAAACTGACTTTCCTCTATGCAATAAGCATTTATAATTCTCTGCAGCAGAACTTCAATGGTACATTTACCAATGATTCCGTGACTGTGAACATTCTTTTTTTTAAATTTTATAATTATTTACTTTCTTTTTGATTAACAGCTACTTATATTTTCATAGTGCTTTTAAAGTAGAAAGTCACTGTAAAAAATTTTTTTATTCATTCGCGGGATGCGGGTATCGCTGGCTGAGCCAGTATTATTGTTCATTACTAGATTTTTGTTACTCAGGTACAGGATTTGAGTGTCACTGGCCAGGCCAACATTCACTGTCCACCCGTAAGTGCGCAGAAGGCAGTTGAGAGTCAATCACAATGCTGTGGGTCTAAAGTCACATATAGGCCAGACCAGGTAAGGATGGCAGTTTCCTTCCCTAAAGGATATTAGTGAACCAGTTGTCCTTGGTGGTGAGCTGCCTTCTTTTCTGCTGCAGTCCACATGCTAGATAGACTCACAATTCTAACAGGGAGGGACTTCCTGGATTTTGACAGAGTGACACTGAAAGATGGCACCATTTTCCAAGTCAGGATGGTGAGAGGTTTGGAGGAGAACTTCCCGGTGGTGGTGTTTCCATGTTTATCGCTGCCCTTGTCCTTTTGGATGGAAGTGACTGTGGGTTTGGAAAATGCTGTCTAAGGAGCCTAAATTCACATTAATCAGAAATAGAGGGATGATGATTGAAAGGAGGAGATATTAGGACTGTAAAATTAAGTTTGTTGAAAAGGATGGGCTTCAAGTCAAGTTTTAAGGAGGACAGTGGAGGAAAGGTGTCTGGACAGGGAATTTCAAGAAGTAGGATCCTATAGTAATGTCTATAATGCCATAATGGGGTAAAAGGATAGTGAATGCACAACAGACCAAGGAAAGCAAGAGGCTGAACAAATCAGAAGTAAACAAGAGTGAGAAAGTAACAAAACTTTGTTATTTGTTATTTACATAAATGATCTGGATCCAAACGTACAAGGCAATGATTAGTCAGTTTGCGGATGATACAAAATTAAAAGGTATCGTTGATAGCAAGGAAGGTCATCAAAAAAATCAGAGGGATCTTGATCAGATGGGGAAATGAGCTGAGGATTGGAAAATGCAATTCAATACAGACAAGTGTGAGGTGTTGCAATCTGGAAAGCCAAACCAAGGTAGGACTTATACAGTAAATGGTAAGGTCCTGAGGAGTGTTGTGGAACAGAGGGACCTAGGAGTACAAGTACATAGTTAATTGAAAGCAGCGTCACAGGTGGACAGGGTGGTGAAGAAGGCATTTAGCATGCTGGCCTTCATTGGTCGGGACATTGAGTATAGGAGTTGAGACGTTATGTTACAGTTATATAAAGTTGTTGCTGAGGCTGCACCTGGAGTATTGTGCACAGTTTTGGTTACCTTGTTATAGGAAAGACATAGTTAAACTGGAAAGTGTGCAAAGAAGATTTACGAGGATGTCGCCAGGACTAGTAGGTCTGAGTTAAAGGGAGAGGTTGGCCGGGATAGGACTTTATTCCTTGGAACGTAGGAGAATGAGGGGTGGCCTCATTGAGGTGTATTAAACCATGAGGAGCATAGATAGGATGAATGCATATAGTCTTTTTCCCAGGGATGGGGAACTGAAAACTAGAGGGCATAGGTTTAAGGTGAGAGGGGAGAGATTTAAGAAGGACCTGAGGGGCAACTTCTTCACGCAGAGAGTGGTGCATATATGGAATGGGCTGCCAGAGAAAGTGGTTAAGGCAGGCACAATTGCAACATTTAAAAAAAACATTTGGATAGGTACATCGATGGGAAGGGTTTAAAGGGATATCGACCAAATGCGGGCAATTGGAACTAGCCGAGTGGGCACCATAGTCAGCAAGGACCAGTTTGGGCTGAAGGGCCTGTTTCCATGCTGTATTACTCAATGACTCTATGACTTGGGTAGAAAGAGAAATAAATAGCAAGAGAGCTTTTGTTTTAGCAGCAGGAATCTTCATAGCTAGAGGGGTGCAAATGGCTTTGAGAATCCTGTGCACACATGCTTAGACATCTGATGAATGAACATACTCCTTCATTTTTTTTCAGTGTCAGTGTGCCCCAGAGAATAGTGAGCAGAGAGGCAGGTGGTGCTGGAGAGACGAAAGAAAAATAAGGGGAATGCGAGTAAAATGAAAGGAATGAATGCAGTTGACTAAGCAATGATAAATGATGATTAAAACGATTAATAAATTAAGTTTAAAGTCATATATTCCCAATAATGGGTCAGAGTGTAATTAAGTTATGCTTTGGTGATTTTATTCACTAACCAAATGTTTACAGTCTAATTTATGACCCATTTGTATTATAGCCTGTCATTTCACAGGAGCTCCAATTCTGACATCACTGTTGCCATTAAAGGCAAAAACAAAATCTCAAGATATGGTACCAAAGATTTTTCCAGATGCACAGTGCTTCCTGACTTAGAAACCTTTTTGGAGATTAGTTTATCTGCCAAAATTAAATTGGCTTTAACTTTCCCACAACAACGAAAAGGCAGGACGATGATTTAAGTTATTTGGTGAGATACGACTGCATTAAATGTAGGCCACAGTTACTTGCCTCTCACTGTGCTTATCCCTCGCTGTGTAATGAAATAACTTGGTAGAATGGAGTACAAGATTTAAATTCTGGTTGCTCCTATAGAGTTAACTTAAAAAAAAACACATTGTTTCACTCAGAAGCTTAACTTGGCAGGGAGTCAGCAGAGGAGTCTGTAACTTCACGTATCATTGTGATAAAAACTAACAGTATGAAGCTTACAAATCAAACTGACATGCTGTAATCAGTCATGTCTAGTGAATGCAGGAGGAGACCACAGTCCAACCCAGCTGATATTCAATTAAAGGCCCATTTACACCAGCTGGTGTCTGCAACGTGAAGTCATTATCAGAGTCAATGGAGCAAATTATAGCTGCCAGCATTATCTTATGCAGCTGATGCTATCCTTAACCTCAAGCTTTAAGGCAATGGAGATTTTTATGACTGTGTAATATACCCAGGAAGAGTTAATGCGGGAATCAATTCACACCTCTGTAGTAAGTATTTTTTAAAATGTTAGCACTATTTGCTTCATTTCTCTTTTAAGCTATCTCTTCCTTTTCCCTGTTTAGACCGTTTTCATGCCAATTCCAGCTGAGAGCATGGGAGGAATCTGCTCCCCCAGCTCATCTTCACATGCTGTGAGGAGCTCTGTAAGAGCAG